AAATTATTATTTTATGTTTATAGTTATCTTTTAATAGCAAGGAAAACTAAAAATGAAATCGTGAAAAATGCAAACACTGTGGAGTTGAAATTTCACAATCCGTATGTCTGGATGGAAACCATCATTGCTCATAGAATTAAGAAGCTAGCTTACTATCTTTGTGGAATTTGATAAAAGATTTTAAGTTACCAAGAAAGAAAAGTTAGATTAATGTTTGAAAAAGAAAATACTTATACAAGGGGAGCTCTGGTGGCCTAGTGGCAAAGAGCTGCAACTACAATCCCAGAGGTGCACGGTTCGAATCCACCAGATGCTCTGCCGGGGAAGGAGGGACAATCTCCTCCTGTACCAGTCAGATTTGATTTGACGGCACACTCACACAAAAATAATAAAATAATTTTTTTTAAAAAAGAAAGAAAATACTATACAGTAGCACAAGTTAATGGATTAAATAAAGTAGTAGCAACTTAATAGTAAGAGTATCCATAGTTTAAAGTAAAAAAGCAATGTAGAACCATTTTCAACAGGCTAAAATAAAAGAATAATTTTTACTGTAGGAGGATTTCTTTTCTCGTATAAGCTTATACATTCAACAGATTTCACGCATTTCTATTGATAATTAAGCCTATGCAAATGTTATATTAAGATCAATAAGGTTTCTGTTCTCAGCAACTTTAACGTAATGAACAGGGGAAAAAAGATCCTAAATACTGTGTGGCTCAAGAGTCCACTACTATACAGTGCTGTTAAGAGAAGTTAGGCAACACAGGCAGAAGTAAAGATCTAACAGATATAGTATATAACCCTAAGGAATTCATGTTAGAGATAGGAAGAACGAAGTAAATACTAAATTGAAGGAGGCTTATACCTCTCCCAAATGAAAATAACAACCAAAATATTTTTAAAAGAGTAGAAGAAGAAAACACTCTCCCTGAAGTCTTTTTTTTTTTATCCACTGTAGTTGTTACTGCACTGAAGTTGGTTCAAAGAGTCTCTTATAATTACCCAAATTGGAACCACTGAGTAGTAGGAATGTTTATACTGACTGACTTAATTATTATTCCATTGACTTGGAAAAGTTGGATTTGTCTTGGTCTTATAAATAGTCTTTCATTACTGCACCTGTAAACTTGTCTAAATTTATTATGTGTAACTTGATGCTGGAAGAAGACCAGGCATTTAAAAAATCTGAGGGGGGGGAAAAGCTACTAGTTTTGATTATCCAAATTTTCACTGTCCTACTCACCTTAAAAACAAAAAAAGAAAGTACCTGAATTGAAAGCTGACTGGTAATTATAAACATAGATGTCCCAAACAGCATAATATCATATATAGGAAGCAAACACAAATACAGTTGTACAATAAAAGGGATTTAAAAATTTTGCTTTCAGTAATGGACTTGAACAACACTACAAACCAGATGCATAGACCACTAAAGCTACCAATACAAAGAACTAACTAACTACAGCAGAATACATATTCTTCTCAAGTACATAAGCAATGACTGCCATGATAGGTCACATATTAAGGCACAAAGCAAGCTGCAACAAATTAAAAGAGAGGAGAAGGCGGCAGTGGCAGAGTAAATCACTAACTAGAAGGCAGACACATAATAACTTGGTGAAGGAAAAGACAATATACAAACAATAAGGGAGAAGTCAAAGAGCTCTCTCTAGTGGCTTGGTGGTTAGAACTGTGCTGCCAATCCAAAGGCATGCAGTTTGAATCCACCAGTGGCTCTGCAGGGAAAAAGATGGGCAATCTCCTCCCATTTGTTTTACTGCCTCTGAAAACACTGGAGAGTCATTTTTGAGTAGTTTCTGACTCAACTGTACATTAAAAAAAAGTGAGCGTTAAGTATAGAATTATGAAGGCAATGCGAGAGCTTAAGAGTTAAAGTCAACAGGGTAAATGCTACTACACACATTATTCTGCAATAAGAGTAGTAACAACAATCTCCCAGATGTACATAGACACACAGCTAAAGAGGACTGGGAAAATGAATGGTCTATGCTCACAAATACACATAAACTTAACAGAGATATTTCCACAGATCTATCTGTACATAAAAGGGGGAATATGAAAATTTCTTAACCATACACAAACCACCTGGGAGAATGAATTTCTGGGCCTAAGGTCTTCAGATCTTCCACTGAAGTGATACTAAGGTCAATAGGGATAAAAAAGTCCATAAAACAGTTCTACAATCCATTCTGAAGAGTAGCAAATGGTGTCCTAAAAGTTGGCAAGCAGTCATTTAAGATGCAAGTTATGTCTCTCCCTAAATGAAGCAAAGACGAGTAAAGGAGATCAAAAAGCATAGAAACAGTAGTCCAAAGGAAGCAGTTAAACCTCAGCCTCCATGAGCCTGAGGCCAGAAGAACTAGATGGTAACTAGCTACTACTCTCAAGTGCTCTGAAAGAGTTCACAGTAGGAGGTGGTCCTGAAGAGATTGGGAGAAAATACAGGAAAGAACTAAAAATATTAAGAAAGATCACACTTACTAGTTTACAGAGACTAGTGGAACCTCTTAAGACTATGGCCCTTAGCTACCCTGTAACTCTAGAAATGAATGGAAATCTGCAGTGTCAGACAAACAACAGACAGACCTCAAGTGAACAATAACACCAAGGGTATATGTATTCCTTAGAAAAAGCAACCACCCAAGATCAAAGCCTAGAGTCTGCCTAGAAATGAAGCTCAAAAGGCAGAAAGGCATAGGAAAAGAGAACACACAAAGTAGTAAACATTGGCATGAAGTGTAAAGAGTGCTTACGCTGTATAGACTACAAGCAATGCCAGGAATCACAACGTGTGTGTTATTGCATTGGAAAACCATTTTCTTTTTGTTGTTGTGTAAACTATCATGCAAATAAAAATTAAAAGTTTATGAAAATTAAAAAGACAGAAATCATATAAAATACCTTCTTTGACATAATAGAATGAAGCTGGAAAACAATAAAAGGAAAACAGAGAAATCATATACACATCTTTAAAGAAACAATGCATCAAAGAATAAATAACAAGAGAAATTCAAAAGTACTAACAAAAAATTAATTACATTAATTATAATGTCCTAAAACAAAATGTGTATAAATAACTGCATTAAAAAAATCAATGTGATTTATATATAACTTTCAAACAAAAAAGAAACCAGAAAAAGCTAAGTTAGTAAAGTAAAATGTAACTTACAGGGAGGCAGTGTTACAAAGGGATAATTATAGCTATAATTGTCTTCATTAAAAACAAAGCTCAAACACAAATCAAGAACCCAACTTAAGATCTTAAAATATAACAAAAATAAAACTCTACCCAAAGAAAGCTGAAGGAAACAAATGGAAAAATGGAAATAAAATAAAGAACAGAAAAAATAAGAGACACAATAAATGACTGTTATAAAAACTCATGAATGACTGACTTGTCATTGAAAAGACCAAACAAAATGAGACTCTGGAGAGAGAGAAGACACAAATAACAAAAATGGGAAATAATAAAAAAAAAAAAAAGAGAAATCAAAGTGGGGGCATTACTATCAACCTTACAGAAATAAAAAAGGTTATACAAAAATATTAAGAACTTGTAACAAATTAAATAAACCACATGATACATTCATGAAAACATAAAATTAACCAAGATGTATTATAAAAAAAAATCTCAATAGGCTATAAGAATATATACATAATTAATAAAAAGATATTTAATCATTAACAACTATTCAACAAAGAAAATCTCAGGACTAGATGACTTCACTGGTGAGTGCTACAAAATATAGAAACATACTAATTTTATTCAAAGCTTTCTAAAAAACAGAGACAAAACAATTCCTAACACATTTTATGAGGCCAGCATTGCCTTCATATCAGTACCAGATAAAAACAGCATAAGAGACTACAGTATAACATCTTAATAAGAGTGGAGATGTAAAAATCAACACAGCAAAATCCATTTGAATAAACCCATAACCCCCTCCCCAAATCAACAAAGTAGCAAACCAAATCCAATGGCACATTAAGCAGATTATGCATCCCAGCCAAGACGAATGATCACAGGAATGCATGAGTGCTTCCATACTAGAAAAACAAGAAATGTAATAAATCATATTATCAGAACAAAGGCAAAAAAACCCCACACTTTATTTTAACTGATGTAGAAATACCTTTTCATGAAAAAGACACCGAGCTAGGGAGGGAAGATTTATTCCCTCAGATGAAGAAGACAACAAACACTTATGTCACTGCTATTCAACACTGTACTGGCAGTTCCAATCACAGCAGTAGGCAAGCAAAATAAATCAAAGGCACTCAAATCAGTAAGGATTCACAATCTCTTAGAATGGGAGGAGAAGGCTAGACTTGTTCTGAAGAACTACCAGCTTTACCAAATTAAAGACTTAATATGTACAGTCACTGATTCACCACTAACTACTTTCCTCTGCTTCTTAGTCTAGAATTAAAAAAATAATTTAGTTGAAGAGGAATTTAAACATAAGTTTTTATAAACAAGTGCGTTAGATGAAGGAATGCTGGTGGCCCCGTGGTTAAACACATTAGCTGCAACCCAAAAACCCCCTGGTGGTTTAAACCCACCAACTGCTCTGTGAAGGAAAGATGAGGCAGTTTACGTTAGTAAAGATTACAGCCTTGGAGATCCTATGGGCCAGTTCTACTCTGTCTTACAGGATCACATTAAATTGGCATGAACTCAAGAATAATGAATGCTGTGGTGGGCACTTTGCTGTTGTAAACCACAGAGTCGGAAATGACCGACAGCTGACTCTGGTGGGTTTTCAGAGGCAGTTAATTGCTTACCCCTCTCCTGCAGAGCAGCTGGTGGCCTCAAACCATAGGCTTTCGGGATTACAGTGCAGCTTCTTGTTACTAGGCTACCAGAGCTCCCTGGTGGGCACTTTAGGTAAAATGAATGGTAATAAATTAAAACTTATATTCCCAGAATATACTTCTCTCATCAAATCACAGGAATCAAGTTCAAAGGGTATTAATCTATTGTGAAAATAAATTGCTAGAGCAAACCAATCTATAAGATAATAAAATACTTCAGAAACAATTCCACAGCACAGCATTATCATTTATGGTAAACAAATTTATATAAACAAAGAGAGAGAGAGAGAAATGGTTTTTGATACTGAAATAGAATATAACACGCCCTTCGGGAACACCAATGACATGCATGCGAATTTTAAAATGAAATGAAAATACCTTTTTTAGTTTCTCATTTTCTTCCATGAATATTTTGGCAGCTTTATTAGTATTTTCTGTTTGTGTTTTAATTGCTCCTTTGTTTGACAGTTCTTTTGCCAGTTGAGTAATAAGGGAAATCAGACGTCTTAATACTCTAAAAGGGGAAAAAAAATCAGAGTAATGTATAACTAAACTAATCATCAGGAACTGTGATATTAAAAGTCATTTTCAAAAGATTCTCTTTTAAGGAGGGGTGTAGTTTTCATGAGAACATGTATTTATTTTACTTTTTTAAAATCTAAGTCTAGTCAAAGTAAGATTATAGCTTGTTACTTAGGAATCTTTGATAGAAACTAGCAAACAAAATATGTTAGTGCTACCTACTGGTTTATTTATTTTTGTTGTGGAGGTTTGTAAGGTTTGAGCCCAGAAAAGAATTTTCAGGACTATTTAGGAGGGTGTAAGTGGGGCCCCAAAAAAGATTTTGTTTCCTCAAGCTCAACAGTTGCTATTTAAAGAGTACTGTATGCAGCAGTCAAACTGTATAACCAGTGTTGTACAGCCAGCACCGTCATTCACATGTCTACGAGGAATGACCAGTTTTGGTAACAGGAATTAAGATCTTTAATTATTTGTTCAACAAATATTTACACATAAATCATTAAAATGTTAAGTACTGCAGACACAATGGAACAAAGCAAGGCTCTGTTTTCAAAGAGGTTAGACTCTAATTTGGAGGTGATTGGTAAAACAGAACAGTATTTAATTTCAACTGTGAATGAAATCAGAAAGGAAAAAAATGCACTTTATATGGTTGTACAATCTACCTCTTTTGAGGTGTGATGGTTCCAGAAGATTCTCAGTTTGTTATAATGGCAAAAGGGCACTTAATACCTGTACACCAATGTTCATAGCAGCATTATTCATTATCACAAGAACATGGAAACAGCCCAGATGTCTAACCATAAAGGAACAGATTGAGAAATTATGGTATATTCATACAATGGACTACTACGCAGCATGCAGGAGAATGATCTGTAAATTATTACCTAACTTAAGAGGGACTGGAGAGCATTATGCTGAGTGAACGGATTCAGTCCCACAAGGACAAATACTGTAGAAAAATCATTATTGTAGAAAGAGTACAAGGATCCAAGGGAGGGGGGAGAGGATGGAAGCAGAGGGATGAGGATATGCAGGGGGAGGGATGGATTAATCATGGAGTTGTACAATTTGATGGGTGGATGGGTTGAACAAAATTTGAAGAATCTGTTCTGGAAAACAAAGCATTCAAATTTTGTAAATAAACTAGTAGAATAATAAAAAAGGGCACTTAGACAGGTATTATTAATAGATTTATGTTCTCCCAAAATATATTTCCTAAGTCTATACACGTAATACCATTTAGGAATGAGTTGCCTTCATTATGCTGAGACAGAATTAGTATAGAGCTCAGTCTTAGTGAATGTCTTTAGATAGGAGATTAAACAAGTATGTGAAAGAAGCAGAGATGGGAAAGAGAGAAGACAAGGCACTTAAAGATCACTCAGAAGGGGTAGCTCAAAGAGACCTTCTCCAGAGCCCTGAGGTTGGCACCCTGAATTCAGACTTCTGGCCTCCTAGGCTGTCAGCCAACAAATTCTGTTTGTCAAAGCCATACATATGTGTTATTTCTGTTGCAGTGATAACGAAGAAAACAAACTCTGTGGAGAAAGGGGTAGCAGGATAAGTAAGAGTTAGCTACAAAAAGCAGGAAAAGTATCTAATAAAAAGATCTTACATCTTTGGAGATTCTGAAATGGAAAGGAGATAGGTACACAGCAGAAACTCAGTAAGTGTCCGGTGCAAGGGCACATGAAAACTGAAGCGCATTGTTAGTGGAAGATAGTACACAGGGAAAGAATAGTTGAAGGCAGAGTTTAAGAGAGACAGAGTGTCTATCCTGCAGGTTTATCAATCTAGCAAATCTACAAGCAGAAATTGTTAGTTATTTGGTTATATCATGAGAATTCTTGTAAAAAAGGTATTAACATACTAAACAATATTAACACGTTGTCGCACACTTTTAAACTGATGACCGTGCTTAAAGCCTAGACCTTGCTTACAGCCTAGACCTTGCCTACAGCCTAGACCTTGCTTACAGCCGTCATTTGTGGCAACGTGTTAAAAATATACAGAGCTTAGGTTAAAAGAAACAAATTCTGTTTTTAAATTGTGCTTCTATGCACACCCATGTTTACTGCAGCTTTGTTCACAATAGCAAGGAGTTGGAAACAATCTAAGTGCCTATCAACAAATGGATAGAGCAGCTCTAGTATATTCACACAATGGAATACTACGCTGCATTGAAAAACAAGGAACTCAGAAGAATTATATGAAAATGAATAATAAGTGATTCTGATTTCAAAGTACATTGTTTGGAAACATTAACAAAAACATCAAAATGATATAAGTATACCTGCTTCTACTAAATTCTTGATGAGATGTTCTCAAGAACAAGCAATTTGTTTCTTGCTATAGAAGGGGGGAGTAGATTTTTTGTTTTGTGGGGGTTTTTTGTTGGTTTTTTAAAATTTTTTTAAGATCAAAGGTTTTCTTCTTCACAGAATTTCATATTTTGCTAATATGAAGGCATAAAACAGCAACAGAGAACAATAATGCATACAGCAGCGAATACACCAGGGTAATGTTGATATTCAAAACAGCTAGATAATTTTGGAGGGGTTTTAGAATAAATGCAACAACAACAAAAAAAAAGAATAAATGCAACA